ATGTAATAGTAGGGCATTGATCTTTCTATTCCCTTTTTCCTTTTCTTCTGATCTAGGCTTTCTTTATTGATTATTTTTAAATTGTGTTCTCCAGAGAGAAAAGAGAGAGAGAGAGAGAGAGATGCCCCCAGTGGGGCATGGCCATGCCATAGTCTCTTTTTCTTCTTTTCATCTAGATTTTGGGCACACATGTGCATGTTCCTGAAGCTGTTAGAGTCAGAACTTGAACTGTGGGTGACCATGTGGGATCTGACTCCCAATGTGTATGACTTAACCACAGTGCTATGGGGACAGTCGTTGATCCAGGACTTTTGAAAAAGCTGTTTTACTTCTTTAATTCTTTCCTTCCCAGCAAGCTGTCCATATGATTTTGATGCAAGCTGAAGTTTGAGAACCACTTCCCTACCTTATCTTTGTGAGTCAGTCAAGGAGCATACCAGTACTGCTATAAATCAGGATAAGTTAGTGTTTAGAGGACTGTTAGTTACACTTCAAATAGACACAGAATAATCAGCTTATGTTGGTTGAGGTGGTGTTTAAACCTTGAAACAGTAATTATAGGTGAGCTAGTTAGGATTAGGTTGGGTTATGAGTGATAGAACCCTAAAATAGCAGTGGCTTAAAAACAGAAGTTTCTTTCTTTCTGCTATAAATATGGGTAATTTAATTTTGAGAACCACATGATTATCAAGAACTTAGGCTCCTATATTCTTATAGCTCTACCATTCCCAATACTCAGCCTTTTTCTTTTTCTAAGAGAGATTTTTGCTATAGGGCATGTTTGCTCACTGGAGACACAGAGAGAGACAGAGAGACAGAAAGTAAGAACTCATTCCTTTGGGAGGATGACCACGCTGCAATCCCTTCTCCTCCATTCTTTTCTTGGGATTTTGGGCAAGCATGTGTGCCTGGTGTGAGTTTTATGCGGCCAGGTCCGGGACTTGAACTGTGGTCGACTATGTGGGAGTCCAGCAATACAACAGTTATACCATTTGCTGGTCCCTCAATCCTCAGCTTTTACTTCATGGTTCACTTTGGCTACTGTTGGCTATAGTCATCCTTTTCACATTCTAGTCAGCAGAGAGGGAAGATGATAGGTAGAAGTAGGCTGTTCTATTCATCATCTCTTTTTTGTTATTTTAAAATTTACTTTTAAATAAATTTTATATTATTTATTTATTTTTAAAGGTTTTTTGCTATAGGGCACTTGTGCTTGCTAGAGAAGACAGTGAGAAGGAAAGTGAAAAATCACTACCGAGATGGGATGACCATGCCACAATCCGTTTTCCTACTGGAATTTTGGGCATGCGTGCACATGCATGATTTTCAAGCCATCAGATGTGGGACTCAGTGGTCAGCCATGTGGGAGTCCAGCTCCTTAGCCACATGCCACCTGCTGGCCCCAAGATAATCCCCTTTTAAAAGGAACTTCCCAGAAGTTGCCTAGAACTTTAAAATTTAATTGGTCAGTACTTATTGACCCCCACCTAGTAAAAGGGAGACTGGGAAATAAAAATTTTTATTTCAGGCAGACATGTGTGCAATATGATTCATAGTTTCTACCAGTAGGGGAAGGAGAGAACATATAAGGGAGAGATAAGTAGCTTCTGCTGCAGTAAATTCTTGAGAGCTTTGGTTGGCCCAATGAGTAAAAACAATACTGAATGCTTATTATATGTAGTGCACTGTCTTAGGTTAGTTGTTGGAAAATGAGGAACATTGGGGGGGGGAACAGAATTACAAAAACAGTAAAATAAAACCTACTCTTTGACACTTTAGGAGGTTCCATCCCCTTGAGGACATTAGGTATGCATACATAGGTTCCAAAGCAGTGCAGGAATCAGAGAGTGTAAGTAGAGAGGGATCAGACTCAGGTGGAATTTACTATTTGGAGGCAGCATTCCAAGAGGACTGCAGTTTTTGGAAGACAAGTTTGAAAGAAAGGATTGCCATACCTATGGGTGAATGAAGTTCTTCAAGATACAGTGACTGCTAGGTACCCTTACTACTTAACGCGTCTTCAGACCAGTTTTCAACGTAGAACTGAGGAAGGGATTGTAATAAATAACCTTTTAAGAAATTTCTATTGGGCAGAAGTAGGCTGTACTATTCATCATCTTAGTATAAGATAAATAATAGCCTTGTTAATTTATTAATTTGTCTCAATTTACATTTGATTGCTATTTCTTGTACTTCCCTTAGTTTCAAGATAGATAAAAAGTTTGTTTCCTAATTTGTATGTGGTAATTAGTATCATTATAGCTTATAACCTCCCAGTTGAATAACTGGATAATTTTATAGAAGAAATGTAGGTAAATTTTATGAGTATAGAAAAAGAAGCCAACAAGTCATAGTAGAGAGAACAAGGAGGGGAGTAAACTTTGAGTATTACAAAACGTAGTTTCGGCAAAAAGGTTTGGCAAAGAGTTTACTGGTGTCTTAAAAACATTGAATATCAATTAACAGGAAATACTAATACAATTTTTTTCCACTTAATATTACAATATATACATTTAGGGATTCCTAAAGTACTAGGGATGTGATATGTATGCCAGTAGACAGCTGGGGATAAGAATTTCCTTGAATAGTCTGAATATAAAAAATTCTTCAAAAGCATGAGCCTTCAAGTTGACTGAAGAACGTTCTTTTGTTTGAAATTAAGAACTTACCCATACCTTACCGTTAGGCATTTAAGTTGCTATAAAATTTTTACTATAAAAAAGTGAAAATAGGGACCAGCAGTTAGCGTAATGGCTATGTCGCTGGACTCCCACATAGTCGACCGCGGTTCGCGTCCGGGACCCGGTGGCTTAAAACTCACACCAAGCGTGTGTGCGTGCGTGCCCAAGATCCCGAGAGGAGAATGGAGGAGAAAGGATTGTGGCGTGGCCATCCCCCCTGGGGAGTGATTTCTCGCTTTCTGTCTCTCTGTCTCTCTCTGTCTGGTGAGTGCACGCACCCTATAGCGAAAACCTCCCCTCCCCCCAAAAAAGTGAAAATAAACCATTTATATTTTTAAAAAGAATTAGTGGGGAGGTTAGCGTAATGGCTATGTCGCTGGACTCCCACATAGTCGACCGCGGTTCGCGTCCGGGACCCGGTGGCTTAAAACTCACACCAAGCGTGTGTGCGTGCGTGCCCAAGATCCCGAGAGGAGAATGGAGGAGAAAGGATTGTGGCGTGGCCATCCCCCCTGGGGAGTGATTTCTCGCTTTCTGTCTCTCTGTCTCTCTCTGTCTGGTGAGTGCACGCACCCTATAGCGAAAACCTCCCCTCCCCCCAAAAAAGTGAAAATAAACCATTTATATTTTTAAAAAGAATTAGTGGGGAGGTTAGCGTAATGGCTATGTCGCTGGACTCCCAATTGCGGTGTGACCATCCCCCCTGGGGGGTGATTTCTTGCTTTCTGTCTCTATGTCTCTCTCTGTCTGTCTGGCGAGCGCACGCGCCCTACAGTGAAAATCTCTCCAAAAAAAAAAAAAGAATTAGTGAGGGTAGAGATACTCACTAGGATATTTTTTCTAGCTTTATGAAGGTATAGTTGAAAAAAATTGCATGTATTTAAGGTGTACAGTACAATGATTTGATATATGTATAACATTGTAAAATGATTCCCACAATTAATTAACACCTCTAATACTGCACATAGCGAGTGCCATTGTGTACATTGTGGGGGTGAGCGGGTGTGTGATGGTGCTTAAGACCTACTCTCTTAGCAAATGTTAAGTAAATGATACTGTCTTGCTAACTATAGTAGCCAAGTTGTACGTTATGTCTTCAAAATATCAAATTGACAGTTCTTGAATCTTACCTAAGTCTGTTGTTAGTTGGCTGCTTGGGGTGGGGGGGTTCTGCTTGAAGGGTGCCACTTTTAGGGAGTTCTGCTTCACTGGGTACTGAGCAAAACATCAGAGGGTCACTGATGTAGATGAGGAAATTTTTCCTTTGAGCCCATGTAGTGTTATGACTTGTCCTTCAATCAAAGTCTAGCTTTGGTCTCATTTAAACAGAATGAAGAGTTTACATGCATTTAAATGACATACTGATAATCCTTCCTCTGTCAGAGTTGACTTAACTTTCTTTTCTTTGTCTAGTCTTACATTAGAATAGTAATGAGAAAACAGTCTCATGGTCTCTAGATTTTCTTATTGCTGCTTCTGGCCCCTCTGATGTAGTCAGTTGTTATCTGTGAGGTGAAAAGACTTGTCATCATAGAGTGAATAAGACTGATTCTCCCTGGGGGTTACTGTTATGGTACTTTAATTTACTGGAATCTATTAATCTAAGAAAAACATCTTTCTCCAAATGCTATAACAATGTGAGGGATTCCTAAAGTACTAGAGATATGATATGTATGCCAGCGGACAGCTGGGGATAAGAATTTCCTTGAATAGTCTGAATATAGCACTTGAGCTAAACTTAAATGGTATTTACTACTTATTTATTGAGAAGAGTACCTGAAAAAGAAGAACAAGATTAAAGAATTTACATATTAGGATATTAAATATTATTGGAGAGAACTTTGAGGTAGCAGAAATAACATTTTATATTTTCTCCTAAGATAAGAAAGATGATTATCCTGTAGATCATAGTGGAATTAAACAATTAAACAATAGTAGAATTAAACAATTTAAACAAGCTTATAAAATTTGGACTTCAGTCATCTATTGAAGAAAATTAAAGCAATATAGGGGTTGTTGATTTATGTAACTAATATGGTAAAGTAAATGTGGGTAATTTACATTTCTTTCCCCTTAAGTGTATATAACTGCTTTCATCTTTGTATTATTTACTGATGTCTAGGTCATACAGATTTTATAGTAATGGAAATGACATTTTATTTTTGTTTGGAAAACAAATCCTCACTTTAAATTGGTTCATTCTTCTTCAGTACAATGTTATGAACTATTAAGTTTATGAGTTATGAAAAATGAATAAAAAGTTACATTCAAATACGTATATGCTTTCATTAGGCTTATTGTACTTCTCTTGATTTGCAGGCCTTTTTGCAAATGTGTAACCTGCCCATCAAAGTAGTTTGTAGGGCAAATGCAGAATATATGTCTCCATCTGGTATGTATGCTTTTTCCTTCTCTTAATGTTCTAGATTGATAAAATTACAATGATAGTCCAGTTTGAACCTAGATTTTAAAGATGGCTGATTTTTTTTGTTTACTTGTTGAAGATTTTTCCTCTTGATTCTATAAAGTAACAACTGCTAAAATGTGGCAGTCTTGGCATGTCTACTTATTTCACCTCTTGCCAGAGATGATTACTGGCATCTAATAAGAATTGTTTTAAATAGAAAATATTGAGGAAATCCATGATGTCAGATTTCCCCAGTCTTACTTACATAGGATTTTCCTTTTCAGAAAACAAATTTTAACATTAATAATTTATTCATTATTTGACATACTTTTCCAAATTATATTCTCCTATAATATAGAGAGATGAAAATGATACCTTCTACTAATATATTTAAATTTCACCTCAAATTAATATTCCCTTTATTATATGATTTGAGATGATCATGGAAATGTTTTTTATTTTATTTTCTTGTTAGATTTTATGGTAGATTTTTAAAGTAGAGATAATAGAAGGCTGCTTGGCTAAGAGTCTGGAAATCTTTAATCCTCCTGTGACTAGTCACATATTAACTATTGCCTGGAGATTTAACTTCTCTTTCTCAGTGAGTTCATCTGCAATGTGAGGTGGTTTGATTAGATGACACGTAAGGCCCTTTTCTTCCTAGTATTCTTTGAATCTACAAACTTCCTTAGAAAAAGGTTCTTACTTCTTTATAAGTGAAAATTCTATAAGGATTATTCTGACCAAAATGAAAAAGAGAGACCATAGTTTTCTGTTAATGACCTTTATTTGGTGCTATAGTATAACTGTCTATGTTTTTGCCTTATATATGCAATAGTGAGAAAACGTGGACTCTATGTTGGTCAGACTAGTGACTAGTCACTTCTAGTTTGTTGTCTTGATTTTTATTTATTTTTTTGGAGAGGTTTTTGCTATAGGGTACGTGTGCTTGCTAGAAAGATAGAGACAGAGAGACAAAATGAGAAATCACCCCCTAGAGGGATGACAGTGCCACAATCCTTTCTCCTCCATTCTCCTCTTGGGATCTTGGGCACACACACACACACACACACACACACACACACACGCACACATGCCTGGCATGAGTTTAAGCTACTGGGTCTGGGACTTGATCCACGGTTGACCATGTGGGAGTCCAGCGACATAGCCATTATGCCAACTGCTGGTCCTGTTGCATTGATTTTATGTATCTCTGTAATTAGAGATAAGATGAGTACTCAGTTGAATACCCCCACCACCTCCCTGCCTTAGAATGTTCAATGTATTTTTTAAAAGGACATTTATTTAATTTTATTGTTGTTTTTAGATTTTCTTTAGGGCATGTGCACTCACCAAAGAGAGACAAAGAGAGAAAGAGAGAGAGAAAGGAGAGAGAGAAAGTGGGAAAGCAAGTAACCAGATCTGGGACTAGAACCAGTCAGCCATGTGGGAGTACAACGTCCCACCTACCTTGCCACCTGCTGACCCCTGTTCAATGTATTGTTAAGAAAAGAAATAAAATACAAATCCAAGAACCTTAAACTTGTAATTGAAAATGAGAAATATACTTTAGTCTAAAAATGTCATACTCCCAAATATCCTTTAGTCCAGACACTCAATATTGGTTTGTCGGAAAAATCATGATGCATTTTTGATAGAACAATGGAAAAAAATACGTCACAACTTTTCTGACAAACCAATAGTTTTTATTCTCAGATTATTTTATTTCAGAGGACCTGCACTAATTCTAGTAGTATAGTAGTTACAAAGATTTTATTACAAGTTTAAAAAGAGTGTGTTCTCATGCTTCTCCAGATAAGAAACTTTTTTCTTTTTGCAAGATTTATAAAGCAGTAGGGGCCAGCAGTTGGCGTAATGGCTATGTCGCTGGACTCCCATGTAGCCAACCGCGGTTCGAGTCCTGGACCCAGTGGCTTAAACTCACACCGGGCACATGCGTGGGTGTGCCCAAGATCCCAAGAAGAGAATGAAGGAGAAGGGATTGTGGTGTGGCCATTCCCCCCTGGGGGGGGATGTGATTTCTCGCTTTCTGTCTGTCTCTCTTTTTTCTTCTTTTTACACATACCAGTCATCTGTTATTGGGTGCGAATTCTCGACTGGGATATGAAAGGACTCAACAAGTTCATTTGGAAGGGTGCTAAGCCAAGGAGATGAAGGTCTGGTTCAGTGTATGACCTCCACGCTGGCCCTCCTCAGTGGTATTTGTGTCGCCGCTCGTGTTTGAATTCCTTATAAGAAAGGCAGTAGCTGAAGATCACATAAGCGGCCAGCACCATAGAAACCTCAGCAACAACCCCCTTTCTTCACGTTGCTGTACTTGTTGTAATACTGGTAGTAACCTCTCTGAAATGCTCCAGCAAGGCCTTTAGGGGTAAAATCTCACATCAGTATCCAGGTTGGCAGCTCCCCAAGTTTGACACCCATGAGTTTCTTCTCCTTCACTGGTATGACTGATGCCATCTTGGAGTCCTGGTCCTCTGTCTTTCTGGCGAGTGCACATGCCCTGTACCCTATGGCAAAAACCTCTCACCCCCCACCCCCCCAAGGGGAAAAAAAAAAGATTTATAAAGCAATAGAAGGAAGAAATCCAAAAATGGTAACAGGGAAATGTCTTCTAAATGAATCAATTGAATTTTGCTCCAAAAGGCCTGCCTCTCCTTTGTAATGCATGTTACCTTCTGGATGCAGATGAAACTTTTGTTGTTGTGTATTTCTCATTACTCCCAAGCTGACTGAGCCAGAGAGGAATGAATCTATTGAAAGGGATCAGGGAGAAGCCTGCTGTTAGTGTAAACTCTGTTTGGATATAAGCCTGACAGCATGCTTCATCCTTCAGCATTTAGAGTAGACCTTGCTGTTTGGTGACTGTTTTGTTCTCTTCATCTCTGATAATTTCATCAAGTATTAGTATTTATTAAAATGAAGTAGTATTTCTTTAGTGTGCTATTTATTTAGTGGAACCAATTTTGTAAAGTTTATTTTATTTCTTCCATGAGAGAGAGAGACAGCATGCGTATACATGAAGAAGGCACTTCCATTAAGGTCTCCATGCTGCTCTCTATCCCCAAGTCTCAGCCTGAATCACAGGTGCCTGTGTGCCTTGCTTGTATAGGGATTCCTCTGGATGCAAACCCAGAACCTTCCTATGTGATCCAGTGTCATAGAGTATTTAGTTATCACTGCATCACTGCCGCCAGTTTAGAGAAGTCAGTTTTTATAAGCATACTACTCTCCCATGTGTTGGGAATATTCTTTGTATTATAACTCTCAAACTAAAATATTTTTGGAGAGTATTACTTCTTTATTTCCAGATTCTTTGAGTCAAAGACGTTTAATGCACCTACATGTACTTAACATACTGATCTTAGGGCTTGAATGGTGGTGCAAGTGAAACTCTGTGATGCTGACCCACATGGCAAGGTTTTAGTTTAGTGTCCAGAGACTTCCCTGAATATGCCAGGTAAGTACATTCCCATGCTCTGTGGCGACTGAAGCCAAGGGTAGATCACAATGTCAAGACCCTGTTGGGAGTGCTGTCTTTGTTTTCTGTCTCTAGTTCATGGAAGAAAGAAATAAACTTTAAAATTTGACCTTAATAGATACGAAATATTTAAAATGAGAAGATCTGAAAAGAAGGCTTTGTAAATGTAGTTTACAGTATGGATTGACTCATTATACTCTGAAGAGATAAGTCCACTTAAATTTCTTTGAAATTTATCAGTGGCCATAAACCAGAATCTTAACTTGGTTCATATAATTCAGATAATTAGTATTTGCTACAGCACAGGAATTTCTTAGTATTATATTAGCATAAAAAAGAGAATATTGTGATTTGCTACTATATCCAAATGAAAACTCTAGAAATGAATCTATTTTTTTTTTATTTTAAAGTTAGCCTTCAGTGTTTAAAAATTCATAGAATTTAATGTACACATAACTATTTTTCAAAAGTTATAGTTTTATGAAATCTCTGTATTAATAAAATGTATGATTTTTGTGTTGATTTCTTTTTTATTAGCAGAAATTTTAATTTACTAAAAGTTGTTTTTACTTTTTTCTCTCAACAGGTAAAGTACCTTTTATTCATGTGGGAAATCAAGTAGTATCAGAACTTGGTCCAATAGTCCAATTTGTTAAAGCCAAGGTAATAAAAAAGATATTAAGTGCTTTTGATCACAGTTACTCTTAAATAAGTCATTTATCATTTTTTAGTGTGTTAACATTTACATTGATTTTAACCTTGTTTTATAAAATCCCAATACAAACTATTAGACAATATTTCTAAAGTATAAGTTGGTGTTTTTTATAATATAAATCAATAGGAAAAGAGGTAGTTTGATCTTTACAGAATGGTAGATAATTTTCTTATGTGTGCTTCTAAGAATTTTTGTTTTAATTAAAAATTATTAGGTTATAACTTAGTTGACCTTTGAGAAGGCAGTAGAGGATATGTTTAAAAGTCAAATGTATTAATATATCCATTTGAATGATTCTACTTTTTATTTATTCAGTTTAGATTTGAATGGTTATCAAGTAATGACCTCTATTAACATTTTGGGGAACATCTTTCCAGACTTTTCTTTTTGCATATATTGGAAAACTTAGATCATACCGTTATGCGTTATTTTGCAACCTTTCTTAAATCATCAGTATGCTTGGAAATTCCATATTCTATATGTCATCCTTTGTTTGGAGGGGGTAAGAGAGTTATTTAATTTTACCTATTATTATTATTATATTATTTTTTAGAGAGGTTTTTGTTGATGTTGTTGTTTCATTTTTGCTATAGGGCGCGTGTGCTCGCCAGAAAGACAGAGGCAGAAAGCGAGAAGTCACCCCTCCAGGGGGGATGGCCACGCCACAGTCCCTTCTCCTCCATTCTCATTTTAGGGATCTTGGGCACGCATGCACATGCACCCGACGTGAGTTTCAGTTACTGGGTTTGGGACTCCTACCGTTGTTGACTGCATGGGAATCCAGCGACATAGCCATCACTCCAACTGCTGGTCCTGTTACTATTATTTTTTAAAATTTGCTATCTGGCACATGCAGTCCTCAGAGAGACAGAGAGAGTAAGAGAGAAAAAGAGAAGGAAAGTGAGAAAGCAAGCCTCCAGGTCCAGCACTTAGACTGTTGTTGGCCATTTGGGAGTACAGTGCCTTAACCACCATGCCACCTACAGGCCCCATATATATCATCCTTTTAAATTGTATGGTATTCTGTTGTATTGGTTGTATTATAATTTCCTTACACAAATCTTTTTTGATGAGTATGTAGGTTCTGGACAATTTTTTGCTGTTTAGAGTGTTAAGACAAATTTTCTGTACATACACCTTTGTTCACTTCTCTGTCTCTGTAGAATAAATTCCTGAGTGGTGTTGGGATGCCATAGATTATTTATTTATTTATTTTAAGAGATTTTTGCTGTGGGATGCATGCACTTGCCAGAGAGATAGAGACACAGAAGGGGAGAAATCATTCCCCAGGGAGATGGCCACACCACAGTCCCTTCTTAGTCTCCTCTTGGGATTTTTTGGCATGCAAACACACATTTTTGGTGTGAGTATTAAACCACTGGGTCCAAGACTCAAAGCATGGTTGATTACTTGGGATCGAGCAACGTAACCATTACACCAACTGCTGATCCTGGTTATTCATTTTCAAAACCTTAGAAGAGGTTGTTAGATTGAACTGAAAGCTATACCATTTTATGTGTCCTCTTGTCATTATAGTATATTACAATTTTGAAATTAATGCCTATTTTCCTATACCTTTATTAGCATTTCTTTTTTCTGTGACCACTTTATAAGTAACACACATCAATCTTTTGGCATTTCTTTTCTTACTAATAAAGTTAATCTCTTTAAAAAAAAAACACCAAGATTTACAAACCATTCTGTTTTCTACTTTTATGAAATTTTAAAAAATTTGCTATCTGGCACTGGCAGTCCTCAGAGAGACAGAGAGAGTAAGAGAGAAAAAGAGAAGGAAAGTGAGAAAGCAAGCCTCCAGGTCCAGCACTTAGACTGTTGTTAGCCATTTGGGAATCCAGTGCTTTAACCACCATGCCACCTACATTTGATAGTACAACTTTGCCCATTGAAAGATACATTTCTATAATGACAAGTAATACTGATATTTTGTAATGATAACAATATAAAATATGTTTTCATATAAAATAATTTTGTCTTAGTCATTTTGGAAATTAACTTATAGAACACTTGTATGTTATATTACTTGTTAGTAAGAAAACTAGAAGTTTTATATATTTAATATAATGCTCTTTTAAATTTTTAAAAATTCTCTTTAGGGCCATTCTCTTAGTGATGGGCTGGATGAAGTCCAAAAAGCAGAAATGAAAGCTTACATGGAATTAGTCAACAATATGCTGTTGACTGCAGAGGTATAAGACAACATAATAAAGCTTGAAAATCAACTTTCTTTTGTAAAGTGCAATTTTTTCTATATGCTATTTTAAAGTTATTGAGAAGTGAGAAGATAATCAAGTATTCTAGGGCTGGGACAATGACCCAAATTAATTAATTATCATCTTTGGATAAGTTACCCGACATTTTCATTTCTAGTTTTTCTATTTGTCAAAGGGGTGATTCTGGCCTAGTTGTTATTTTGCTGTGGTCTTTTGAAATTGACTTAAATAATATCTGTATAATGCTTTAATGCTTTGTAGAGATGTATTATGTGAGTAAGAAATATTTTTATAGAATGCCACCATTAAATTTAATAAATCTGTATAGTAACATTGGCTAAGGAAAAAATCTGTAACATATGTGACTTAAAAAATTGGCTTATAAAAAAATAACTATAGTAAGAAATAACTTTATCCTTTTTTCTCTTTGGTAGTCTAAAGTTTTAGTGATTGTTCTTTTGTTCCTAGTTGTATCTTCAGTGGTGTGATGAAGCTACAGTAGGGGAGGTGAGTGGTTCTGTAGCATTTGTCTTAATTAAAATTTAATGAGAAAACACTTTTGCTCAGAATCGTAAGTCCCTGCTCATAAATGAAACATTGTGGTTTATACCATTAGTGATATAGTTTTTCACTTACTTTAATTTTGCTTGCACATACATTTTAAGGAAGCTATGTGTCATTGTTTGATATAACTGGTTGTAAAGTATATAAATGTTTATATATTTTTAAAGGGAATAGTTTACAATCTTAATTTTTTAGATCATAAGCTATGTATTTGTTTCAGGTTACTCTATTAATGTTCTCTGAAAGCATACTTCTTTTTTTTGAATACAAGAATTTTTTTTTTATTCGTTCATTTATTTTAATTTGACCAGAGAGAGACAGAGAAAAAGAGAGGGAAAGTGAGAAAGCAAGCTACCAGGTCCGGGACTTGAACTGTGGTCAGCCATGTGGGAGTGTCCAATGCCTTAACCACCATGCCACCTGCTGGCCCCAGGCTCATCTTTTTTTTTTTTTAATGAAATTTTTTTGTTTTAGATCACTCATGCTAGGTATGGATCTCCTTATCCTTGGCCTCTGAATCACATTTTGGCCTATCAGAAACAGTGGGAAGTCAAACGTAAAATGAAAGCTATCGGATGGGGTAACAAGACACTGGACCAGGTCAGTTCAGGTTGAAGTTGACAAAACCCTCAATTTTTACTCTTTGTGTTGATATGTCTTTTAAAGAAAAAAAATAATAATAATGTAAAATTAATAAAACATTTGCTATTATTTTCTCTGACATTAAGTAGTTTTGTTTTATAAAGATTATACATGCTTATTGTAAAACACTGTTTTAGATGTCTCTTAGTAACATTTTAAAATGGGATCATATTATAACTGCTACCCAATAGTCTGATTTTTTTTTTTTTTTCATTGAACAATACATCGTGGGCATCTTTAAGTCAATAAGTATACATCTGCACCATCTGGACTTAAATAAAAACTTAAATATAGTACTTAATATATATCTTTGGTCTTAAAACTACTATAGTAGCAAAATTTAAAAATATGTATCTTGTTTTTTTTTTTTTTTTGAGAGAGATTTTTACTATAGGGCGCGTGCGCTCGCCAGACAGACAGAGAGAGACATAGAGACAGAAAGCCAGAAATCTCCTCCCCAGGGGGGATGGTCATGCCACAATCCCTTCTCCTCCATTCTCCTCTTGGGATCTTGGGCACTCACGCACACGCGCCCGGCGTGAATTTTAAGCCACTGGGTCCGGGACGTGAATCGCGGTTGACTACGTGGGAGTCCAGCGACATAGCCATTATGCTAACTGCTGGTTCCCCAGAAATATGTATCTTGTTAATATCATGAGCGTGAGCATCATTAAGCTAATTAATGTCTAATTAATGTCTCTTCCAAGGCTATTCCTAATTCTGATGTGTGCCATTGGCTATAAGGGGGATTAGGAAATGAAAAGGGTTGGAATAAATAAAATCCCAACTCCACTAGTGGGAAAACAACTCAATGCTTCTACTTTGGTGGGTCAACAGTGTCATCTTTATGAAGTAGATTTCTTTTATATGTGCAAAGTCATTTAAATATATAGAATCAAGGACACATTTTTATAAGAAAGAGTTTGAGAGAAAAGTATTTTGAGTATTTCTCATAAATGTATTTGTATCTAAAGGAAGCTGACTCATTTTGTATATAGAAAATATTACGTATGTGGTCTGTAGTCCGATTTAAATATAAAAGGTTAATGTAAATTTATATTTTGTTATAAACTTTGATACAAATAAGTTTCAGATCATTTTAATTGTTTTGCTAATTTAAACATTTTTCTCTGGGGTCTATTGCTTATGTTAGGTCTTAGAAGATGTAGACCAGTGCTGTCAAGCTCTTTCTCAGAGACTGGGAACACAACCGTATTTCTTCAATAAGCAGTAAGCAATTTTATTATTTTTGTAGACTGTTTATCTTAGATATTTTTAGGTTGCAAATTTCTTTTATCATAAAGAAATTTCTTTTTCAAGAAATATTTATGGAAAGATTTAGTTATTTTTCAGTTTATTTTTGTACTCATTAAATATTTATTTAGCACATCTCAGCTATCAAGTGCAGTGTTAGGCTATGAGAAATTAAGATTTTTAAAATGTCTTTGTCATTAAAAATATTCCTTATGGGCTGCCATATAAATTAGTCACTAGTGTATGACAGTCTCTAATAGAGGTAGTTTAAAGGGCAGTGTGTGAAACCACAAAATCTTAATAATATTCTAAACTTGTACTATAAAACATGAAGATGGAGGCCGTCAGGTGGTGTGGTGGGTAAAGGTGTTGGATTCCCACATGGCCAACCGCTGTTTGAGTCCCAGACCTGGCAGCTTGCTTTCTCACTTTTCCTTTCTCTCTGTCTCTGTCTGGTCAAATTAAAAAATAATAATAGCAAATGGAATTAAATAAATAAAATAGTTATTTAAAAAAAGAACCATGAAGATGTTAGTACAGCCACATTTTTGTCTACCTAGGATGATACCCTGAGGACTAGAAAAGTCAAAGATAATGAATAAAATATATGTGTACATATGTAAATTGAGTAATTCATATTTTACTGAAAGATTTTTTTATAATATAGGGAAGAAATTTTCCTTTATTAAAAAATTGCAATTTTAGTATATCAGAATCAGCTATCTATTCTATGACCCAGCATAAAATAGGTTTAAATTAGCCTTTTTTTTAAAAAAAAAGAATTATTTTATTTAACTTTATTTATTTTAATTTGACTAGAGCAAAAGAGAGAGAAGGAAAGTGAGAAAGCAAGCCGCCAGGTCTGGGACTCGAACCTCAGCCTGCCCTATGGGAGTCTAGTGCCCTTAACCACCAAGACACCTGCTGGACCCTTAAGTTAGTCTTTTAATTTCAGTTGTTATGCTTAGAAAATCTAAGCTCTTCTCTTTCTAATAAAAATTTCATGCTTTTTAGATTGATAAAATTTTTAAAGAATTATTTTATTTATCTTATTTTTATTAACTTTAAATTTGTTATAGGGTACATGTGCTCGCACACGCGTGAGAGAGAGAAAGAGAAAGTAAGAAAGCAAGCTGCCAGGTTTGGGACTTGAACTGTGTTTGATCATGTGGGAGTCTAGCACCTTGACCAATCATGGCACCTGCTGGCCCCTAGATCAATAATTAAAAGGCTATTTGCTGTCTTATTTATTATGTATGCATAGGCATTATATCCTATAGCCATGTCAAACATCTTTTGTAAAGGTATTAATATTTGTAATAAAAAAGACTATGCTGATAACTTGAACACTTTTACTTATATTATTCTATTGCTTAACTAATATATACTAAACATAACTGATATTAAAATAAAACTTGGAATCTGTTGATCTCTGAAGCAGAAAGGTCAGAGTTCAAACCATGAAATCCTAGAAGGTAAAACTTACACAACTGTTGTTGTGTTTGCTATGCAGATTTTATTGGTTTAGTCTCTTACACAAAAGAAATGTATACAGATGTTAGTTTTATGTAGTTCCTTTTCTTTCTGACCTAGGAATTCTTAGGAGTTGAAAAGCTCAGAAGGAGTGCATTTTACTGTTTGAAGTGTATTGGTCTGTATTATGAACTGGTTTTGTTATGGGTGCTCTCTTCAGGGAAGCCAAGAGAATAGGTCTAACTTACATTTCTTCTCAGTTAAACTCATTGTCAAACTCACTAGTAATCAGAGGTTTGTATGAAATTTAGTGGAATATCAAGATGTCATTTTTCTTCATAATACTACAATTATATTTAAAGTTGTGATGAAAAATTCAAAAAATTCTGTTTTTAGGTCTGTGAGTGGAACGTTATAAATGCCTGTAAAATAATAAGAATATTGAAATGTGAAAAAAAAGAAAAATTCCGAATTAGAACTGACGAAAAACTTAAAGGCTTGCTTTTGAAGAACTGTTTAATTGATGTTAAGATGTAGGTTTTTTAAAAGGATTTTACTCTATGATACTTAAGATATTTTTCTCTAATTTTGTGATTGAAGAATAAATAAAATTTAATCTTTAATTTTAATGTTACTCAATCATTTAATTAATACTCAAATGCAAATAAACTACATTTAAGATAAAGTATCCTGTACCTTTACTTTGTTGTGGCAAAATTCTTCTATTGGGTTGTTGGAAAAGTAATGAGGCATTTTTTCCTGGAAAAACAGAAAAATGGGACCAGCAGTTAGCGTAATGGCTATGTTGCTGGACTCCCAGGTAGTCCCAGACCTGGTGGCTTAAAACTCATGCCAGGTACATGTGCGTGCATGCCCAAGATCCCGAGAGGAGAATGGAGAAGAAGGGATTGCAGCGTGGCCATCCCCCTGGGGGGTGATTTCTCGCTTTCTATCTCTCTGTCTCTCTCTGTCTGTCTGGCGAGCGCACGTGCCCTATAGCAAAAATAACCACAAAAAACAAAAACAAACAAACAAACAAAAAAACCTCTCCAAAAAAAAAAGAAAAATACATCATGACTTTTCTCACAACCCAGTAACTCCTTTATCTGCAGCAGAAGTCATTATACTTTAGTGAATAGAGTGCTAGCTTTAGTCAGAATATATAGGATTGGCCCAACTGATGGTGGGCAGTCCTAAACACTTGCTCTGAAAGGTGGGACCATATAGAGCTGGTTTGATTAGAGACTTGGAAACTAGACAGAAGGTCTGTGAGCTAGAGGCTAGTCTATGTAACAAAGGGAGACCCTGCCTGAAGAAGAGCCCGGTGTGGTGGTGTGCACTGGAGTACCAGCTAGGAGGCCTAGGCAGAAGGATCACGACATGGTGGGACTTGTACTTAAAAAAAGAAAACAGGAAAAAAGATACATTATATTGGACTCTTAAGTCAGAAACTCTGAATCAGAAAAAGAAATAAATATGAAATAACAAACAAAGCAAAAAAGATGAGTGCCAGAAAAATTTTAAATGGGAAAGTTAGGAAAGATTGGGAAAATGTTGACATTTTATAACACTGCTTTTTTTTACTTTTTTTTTTGTATTCAAATAAAAATATAATAGATAACCAACAGAAATGAGGAAAGAATAATGATGCAAGATAAAAAAAGCAACAGATTGCTTAAAAATGTATTTGTCATCCTAGAATATTTTTCTAATAAAAAGTCTATTAAGCTAAATGCAATAGTATATATGAAATATCTTAGAGTTGGTAAGAGGAGAATTGCTGTCTTTATCCAAACTAGAATTTACAAACTGTTCAGTAAGGTGAAGAGTGGAAACTTATGTTTTGCTCTTCATATGGAATTGTGAGACAATTAAAACGAGGTACATGAAGATTTTGGTCATATTAAATAATTCAGTAGACATACTTGAAGTATGAATTTTTTTGTTCTGTTTCTCATACAAGTGGCAAATATTTTCTAAATTTTGTTGCTTGTCTATTTTTAAGAGTCAGATTTGTTGCAGTGTAATTTACGCACAGTAAAATTGGCACTTTTATGTGTATAAGTCTATGAGTTTTAACAAAAGTATACGGTTGTGTAACCACCACCTCAAGTATACTTTAAAAAAATGGATTGTGGGAATTGGTAATTTATATGTGTCAAAGTCAGTTACTATAAGATAACAGGTTGCTGAAATTTGTAAAGATTATAAAAATATGCTTTAAAATTTGTGTGTGTGTGTGTGTGTGTGTGTGTGTGTGTGTGTGGTTGGTTTGATTTAATCAATTGCGTTCTACTTCTATTAGATGTTCTAAAGTAACCAGACACAAAGTTGTTACCTTTAACATCAGATCGATTTTTGTATGCTCATACCCATATATAATTCAGCATCTTTGGAGCTACATGGATGTATATTTGCAGCAAACAACATTTTGACCACTTCAGGACTACTGATGTACTCTAATTTGAGCACGCTTTCATACCTGAACTCATTCAGGTGTAAAATTGCAAAAGGATGCCTATCTACACTACTGTACATTGGATCAGGGAATATAGTCACCTTTTTAGACTCTTATATAAGAAGCAAAGGGTAGCTGGCACTAAACAGAATTAAGAAAATAAATTGCTAAAATAAGAATAGCTTTCAAGGAATACGTTTAGAGTGGTGTTTATATTCTTATAAAATGCTTCAGCTCTATATTATCACTCTTTTTTTTTTCCAGCAATCTATTTGTTATTGATTCTTTATCTGTGATAAGATAATAGTACTATTGAGCCCAAGAACACTTTTGATTTTTAAGAACTATCCTGTTGGCAACCCTTTTAGACTGGGACCAGCAGTTAGCGTAATGGCTATGTTGCTGGACTCCCATGTAGTCCACTGCGGTTCAAGTCGTGAACCTGGTGGCTTGAACTCACGCCGGATGCATGTGCGTGTGTGCCCAGGATCCCGAGAGGAGAATGGAGGAGAAGGGATTGCGGCATGGCCATCCCCCCCTGGGGGGTGATTTCTCACTTTCTATCTCTCTGTCTGTCTCTTTCTGGCAAGCACACCCATAAAGTGAAACCCTCTAAAAAAAAAAAAAAAAAAGATTATAGACTATACACTTGTTTGGTTAATATTGGGTTGTCAGAAAAACAGAAAAAAATACATTATGACTTTTCCAACAACTCAGTACTTCATTAATGTGTCAAAAGAGGGAAGACTTTGAAAGAATGTAACTCCTATTGAAAAAATAAGACATCCCACATACCTTAGTTAGAATGCTTTCTCTTCGCTGTTATTCATTTATTCATTCATTTATTCACTAAGACAGGATTAGCAAATGTTTTAGTTCCTCAACTATTGTGCTAAGAACTGGAGATAATAAAATATATGCACTACTACATTTATGGAGCTTAGAGTATAGTGAGGGAAACAGTGGAGTAAACACAGTTATAGTACAGAATGAGAAGTGCATCACTCTCTTTTTAACTTTTTTTTTTTTTTTTTGCCATAGGGCGCATGCGCTCACCGGAGAGAGACAGAGAGAGGGAAAGGAAGAAATCACCCCGAAGGAGGGATAGCCATGCCACAGTCCCTTCTTTTCCATTCTCCTCTCAGGATTTTGGGCTTGCACATGCACACACCTAGTGTGATTTTCAAGCTGTCAGGTCTGGGACTCAAATTGCAGTCAGGTGTGTGGGAGCCTACTGCCTTAACCACTATGCAACCTCCTGGCCTGACATCATTCTTTTAAAATTGGTCCACTCAACACATGCTTATTGAGAACCTACTTTATGCCAAGCATTGTTCTAATATTAGAGATGAAGTAAAACAAGTAGACAATGTCCTTTTTTTTTTTTAATAGAATTTACATTCTGGTGGAGGAGATACATAATAAACAACAAATAATAAATGATGTTAACATAGAGATTTAAAATAGTATTACACAATAGTAAGTGACTGTGGGAAGCTGCACACCAGCGAGTCTGCCGAGGTTTCTCAGAGAGCAATCAATTACCATGATTGGTTCCCTTCCAAAAAACCTGACCTTCGAAACCTTGCTCTGATTGGCCACTAGAATTCCTCAAATTTGCATATCCGGCACCTCATGATTGGTCCAAAAGCAACCAGTCACAGCCCACTGCTTACAACCAATCACGGCCCACCGTTTACAACCAATCAGGGCTACCGTTTACAACCAATCATGGCCCACCGTTTACAACCCACCAGAGTGTATATAGCCACGATGCCTGGCCCACAGTAGCCAGACGACGACGACGACCAAGACGAAGACGACCAAGACGATGACGACGATGACGATGACGACGACCAGGAAGATGACAACTGAAGAGCCCGAAGAGCTGAAACACTGCGCAGTCTCCAGATGACCCTGAAGATCCTGAAGAGCTGACACTACATCGTCTCCAGATGACCTGGGAGACCCTGAAGAGCTGTAACACTACATCGTCTCCGGATGACCCTGAAGAGTTGTGACACTGCGTCGTCTCTGTGCTGCTCACAGTAGACGACGCGACCCTTAAGAGCTGTGATACTGCGTCGTCTCTGTGCTGTACCGTGCTGCCCACAATAAACGGACGACACTGTCGTCTCCGTGCTGTAACACTACGGCGCTTGTCCCGGCTCTCACTCCTTCACTCAGGAAACCTGTTCAGCTGTCCCCCCGGGTCGGGACACCTGGCGCCCGAACAGGGACGGGACAAGTGACTTCATGTCCACTTTAGTTTGGGGTGGTAGTGGTAAAGGGATGCTTTAGATTGTTGTGACATTTAAGCCTTATTCTGAAAATTGAGGAGGCAGCAATGTGAATTTAGAGGAAACATATTTCAGGAATTAGGGATGGTTGGTGCCAGTGCCTAAGATTGGCTTGAGTTTGTTATGTTCACAAGAAAGAAGCAAGGCCAGTTGTGTTTGGGTATTGAGAATGGTAGAAGAAACTGAATAGATAGGCAGAGGCCAGATGATACTGGCTTTATTGCTTAGGGTAAGAAGTTTGACATTTTATTTAGTGTAAGTAGAATAGAGATCCATTGGAAAAATTTATGTTCGGAATAGCATGACCTAGAGACATTATAAAGAGCCATTCCAGCTATGGTATGGAACATGAATAGAAGCAAAAAGACCTATGAGGAGGCTATTGCAGTTGTCTAGGCGAGAGATGATAGTAGCTTAGAGAAGTTCATAGTGGAGAGAGAAAGAGAAATGGTGGCATTCAGGTATCAGCTCACTGGACTTGCTGATGGATAAGGGAGAGCAAGAGAGGGGGGACTCAAGGGTAACCTCTAGATTTTTGGCTTGTACAGCTGGGTAGAGAGCAGCTTTTTATTTTGAGAAAATAGAGACAAATAGTTTGAGATACATATTTAACACTGACATGGAGATGGTGTTTATGAATTGATATATGAATATGAATCCAGAGGCCAAGGGAGAGATTAGAACCAGAGATAAATATTTGGAAATTAGTGACATGAAGATGATATTTAAAGTCGTGCTACTCTGTAAGGTCATTTATCAATTGTGATCCAGGCTACATAGTAAGTGGCAGAATTGGGATTCATATTTATATTTGACTGACTCCAAAATCTGTTCTACCAAACCTGTTTTCTACAACACGTTTACACATTTTGATGTGCTACACATGTTTTCTCAAAACCTAATGATGAATTAGTTCATACTTATGGTACTTTTTTTCTTTTACTGGTATTTCATTAGTAATTACATTACTGTAACATAGTTTGCTGATGTCCCACTTATGGACCATTAGTAATGGGGTAAATTTCATATTATTGCAATAACATATAATTAAAGAAAAAACATCCTAGAAAATTTTGTGGTAAGGTTATATATGATTATGTCTCCTTCTGAAGTCTAAGTTACTTTTAAAGTAGTAAAATTAAAGCTATATTATGTTTGGGCCAGCAGGTGGTGTGGTGGTTAAAGGATCTGTATTCCCACATGATAGAGCAGAGTTCAAATCCCAGACTTGGCAGCATGCTTTCTCATTTTCTCTTGTTCTCTCTCACTTTCACTCTGTCCCTTTCGGTCAAATTAAAATAATAAATAAATAAATAAAGTTAAATAAAATCATTAACAAAAAGTTATATAATGTTTTTAGTATGTTTCGGGTAATTGGGCATGTACGTGTGTTTTAATGTGTGTGTGTGTGTGTGTGTGTGTGTATCTATCTCCCAGCACCACAGAAACATTGCTGTGCTTTGCAAGCATTGTGTTCATGCATCTGTTAAAACATTTACTGAATTGTGTTATGGTCATTTATGTTTTGTGTCTGTGTCTTAGAGGATGTTTTTTTTTATCACTAGCATCTGGTCTGGCTATGTTCCTGGCACTTTGGATACCTGCTGTATTTACTTAGTGAATAAAGTAATGAATACAATGAATATCATTTGTTACACGGTTAAACACTACTACTATTTCAAAAGTTAAAACAATATATTTTATCAAGTTGTAGTAGGATTTAGTATTTACCTGACTCTTTTCTTTTACATTGATGCATAAAACATTTCTGAAACCAGTGAATTTTCTACCATACAGTTGGATGTCTCTGGTTTACTCTCATTTCTGCTTTTGTTTTAGGCCTACTGAACTTGATGCACTGGTGTTTGGCCATTTGTATACCATTCTTACCACACAGTTGACCAATGATGAACTCTGTAAGACGGTGAAAACCTATACCAACCTTCTTTCTTTCTGTAGAAGAATCGAACAGCACTATTTTGAAGATCGTGGTAAAGGCAGTTTGTCTTAGAATTATGTGTTAGTTTAGTTATCATTAAAAATAATTCTGGATTTGGAATATATATTACTTGAAATTTTATAATAAATATCGATACCAGAATTTTAAAACCATAAACACTGCATTTTGAAACCCTGAAACCAATGATATGTTATACTCTGTACATGTATGTTGTGCTGTTATTTGTGTACAATAAAATATAATAGTCCCCATTTATCTGCTGTTTTACTTTCCATGATTTCAGTTACCCAAGGGCAATTACAGTAAAAAAGCATGTGAGTATAGTACAATAAGATATTTTGTGAGAGACCACATTCATATAACTTGTATTAGGGTATATTACTATAATTGCTCTATTTTATTAATTATTAATATCTTACTGTACCTAATTTATAAGTTGAACTTTATCATGGGTAGGTATGTATGTATAGGAAAAAAAACACAATTTGTATAGGATTTGGTACTTCAGACATCCACTGGGGGAGGATCTTGGAACATAGCCCTCCTTAAATAAGGGGGCACTACTGTACTTCTGAATTATCTTATTTACAGTGTTGTACTCTATATCTTGAAATTTTTGTTTCCTTGAAACATGTATGCATATAAAAAATAAAACCTAAGTAAATGTGGATGTTATATTTACTTTCTTTAAAGCTGCCTGACAGTGACTCACTGGGCTTAATAAGTAGGGAATAAACTGTCTTTTCTAAGGAAGGTAATTGGTGCTACATACTCTTAAGATTATTTTGCTAGGTATGTGGTGAAAACTGATCATGGGAAACATGTTGTTTTTTTTTTTTAAGAGAAAGATTTTTGCTATAGAACATCATGTGCTCACCAGGAAGACAGAGAAAGACAGAGACAGAAGAAAGACATCCCCCGAGGGGATGGCCACGTTGCAGTCCCTTCTCCTCCATTATTATCCTCTTGGGATTTTGGGACACGCACAAACATGTACCCAGTGTGAGTTTCAAGCCACCAGTTTTGGGACTTGAATCCCTGTCTACTACATATGAATCCAATGCCTTACCCACTATGCCACCTCCTGGTCCCGGGGAAACATGTTCTTAACAAGTGCACACTTAGGAAATGTGGATAATTATAAGGCAGTTAGCTAATACCTGGCACAGATTTAACATTTAAGAGCATCCTTTATATCTAAACTTAATTGAATTAAAAAAACATTTCTTCAAATTGACTTTGATTTACATGTGATAAAGGGAACGGTCGATAACTTTTTGTTTTTGGAAAGAAGGACTTTTTAGCAGCGCTCTTTTATTGTTTTTAGTAGAAGAGAAGATATTGTTCACAGTAATATCGACAAAAAATTATATATAAACACTAATGATCAGATATTTTGTCCTTCTCAAATTTTCTAATATTTACATCTTATAAAGCAAGGAATACTGCAAAGAGTCAGATAAAAATTATTTCTTAAAAAGATGTCTAGAATGGGGCTGGCAGGTGGTATGGTGGTTAAGGTGTTGGACTTCCACGTGGGCAACTGCTGTTCAAGTCCCAGACTTGGTGTCTTTGCTTTCTCAATCTCCCCTCATCAATGTCTCAGCAATAAAGAGATAAATAAATAATTATTAAAAATATCTATGAGAATATTACCTTTATATTTTCAAAATAAATAATAAATAAGTAAATATTTTAAAATATGGTCAAAATAAATAATAACAATAAGCAAAAATAATTCTTTTAAAATGTCTAGGATAATAGTACCTTTATATTTTCAAAATAAATAATAAATAATAAATCTTTTTAAATGACCAAAATAAATAAATAAGTAAAAAATTTAAAAAAAGTAAATAATAATAATTTAAAAAAAGTCTAGGGTAAGCATACCTTTATATTTTCTTTGTCTGTACCTGGGATTTTAACTGTTTAATCCTAATGAAAACATTATGAAGGTAGTCATCCCCAGTTAACAGAGGAGGAAATGGAGACTTGGAAAAGATACCTTATTTAAGGTTATGGAGCCAGTAAATGGTAGAGTTGGAATTCAAACCCAGGTAATCTGACACCAGTTTGCTTTTAATTATCTTTTTTGGGGGGAGGGGCTGGCAGGTGGCATGGTGATTAAAGGTGCTGGACACCCACATGGCCAACTGTGGTATGAGCTTTCTCACTTTTGCTCTCTCTCTTTCTCACTCTGTCCCTCTCTGGTCAAATTAGAATAAATAAATAAATAAAGTTAAATAAAATAATTCTTTAAAAAATTATCCTTTTTTAAAAAAAATATTATAAATTTATACCTAATAAAGAATTTATCCATAGGTAGATTAATACAAAGATAATCAGAGAGGATCTTGACTGTCCAGAGAGGGAGAAAGAGAGAAAATACCTCACAAAAATGGGGCAGGTCACACCACGGTCCTTTTTCTTCCCATTTCTCTGTCCCATCAGGATTTGGGGTACTTAAGCCACTGGGGCTGGGTTTCGAACACTGGTGAACCATGTGGAATCTGTCTGTCTCAGCACAGTGCTTAGCCTCCATGTTATAAGGCCAGCCCTGTGTAATTTTCTTTCTTTCTTTTTTTTTTTTTTTTTAATACTAGAACCCTACATAAACTTAGGTACTGTCTTTGGGTTATAGAGCTATTATTAGCTTTCCTGAGCTCATTTTGTAATTTATATTATTAAAATTAAAAGTCCCTAGATACCTGTGTTTTGCACAATCTTTGCAATAGATTTTTTTTTTTTTTTGAGAGGTTTTTGCTATAGGGCGCGTGCGCTCGCCAGACAGACAGAGACATAGAGACAGAAAGTGAGAAATCACCCCCCAGGGGGGATGGTCACGCCGCAATCCCTTCTCCATTCTCCTCTCGGGATCTTGGGCACGCACGCACACGCGCCCGGCCTGAGTTTTAAGCCACCAGGTCCGGGATGCGAACCGCGGTCGACTACGTGGGAGTCCAGCGACATAGCCATTATGCTAACTGCTGGTTCGCCAAGCAAATAATTTTTTGAACTTACTTAATTTTCTTTTTTTTTTTTTTCCGGAGAGGTTTTTGCTATAGGGCACGTGCAATCGTCAGAAAGAGAAAGACAGAGAGACAGAAAGTGAGAAATCACACCCCAGGGGGAATGGTCACACTGCAATCCCTTCTCCATTTTCCTCTCGGGATCTTGGGCATGGACACACATGCACCTGGTGTGAGTTTAAGTCACCCAGTCCGGGACTTGAACCGCAGTTGACTACATGGCAACACAGACATAGCCATTACGCCAACTGCTGGTCCCTATAATTTCTTGCTTTAAAGTATTACAACCAGTTTTTGCTTGATCAGCTATTTTGTAGTATGTCTCATCCACTTATGTTCACATGCATGAAACAATTTGTACATTTTATAGAGCCACAAAGGAAATATTAAAACATTTGGTTATATCTAGGCTGATACAAATGTTTTCCTAATCTATTCTTAAATTTCTAAGACTTTGGATCCAATTAAATTATTATTTTTTTTATATTTTAGTTAAATTATGTCATTGATTTTGTTGTGAGATTGCAATATGTTCTGTGGGATTTTCTACCTGGATAATCCTGTTTTCTGTAAACAGACTTAATTTTATTTCACTCCTGTTTTCTGTAAACAGACTTAATTTTATTTTACCTCTTCCAATCTGTTTGCCTTTTTCTGTTTTGTTCTTGTTTTTATTTTGCCTTTTAATGCTGACTAGCACTTCAGTACAAAATTGAGTAGGAGTAGTGAGAGTGGATAGCTTTGCCTTGTTCATGATTTTATGGGGATGGTATTCAGTCTTTCATTATTAAATATGAGTGTAACTTTTTGTAGGTGCCTTTTATCAGGGACAGAGAAAGTTCCTTTCTATTTTTGTTTTGCTGAAAGGCCTTTTTTTAGGTCTGGAATGGATACTGTATTTTAGCAAAGGCTTTTCTTCCCTCTATTGAGATGAGCATAGGCTTTTTAAAATTTAGTCTGTTTAAAACAGCAAGTTACATTAATTGATTTTTTTTTTTGGAGAGGTTTTCGCTATAGGGCACGTGCACTCGCCAGACAGACTGAGAGAGACAAAGAGACAGAAAGCGAGAAATCACCCCCTAGAGGGGATGGTCACGCCGCAATCCCTTCTCCTCCATTCTCCTCTTGGGATCTTGGGCACGCATGCACACGCACTCGGCGTGAGTTTTAAGCCACCGGGTCCGGGACGCGAACCGCGGTCGACTACGTGGGAATCCAGCGACATAGCCATTACGCTAACTGCTGGTTCCCCATTAATTGATTTTTAAAGGTTGAATCACCTTAAGTTTCCTGGGATAAACTCCATTTAGTTATATGTTACTGTTTTCTATACTGTTAGATTTTATTTCTTAGTATTTTGTTAAGGGCTTTGTGTTGTTATAATGAGAGATGTTGGTCACCAGTTTTCCTGTAATGCCTTTTTCAGGATTTCTTATTAGGCTTAAAGCATCTCATTAAACGAGTTAGTAAGTGTTCTTATTCTTCTACATTTGGAAAGAGTTTATAATTGGTATTATTTCTTCTTAAATGTTTGGTAGAGTTACCAGCATAACTATCTAGGATGTTTCTTTGTTGGAAGGTTTTAAACTAAAATTTTTATCTCTTTAATAGATTTAGGAATATTCAGATCATCTCTTCTTAGGAAAGCTTTGACTTTCGAGGAACTTGCCCATTGTTTCTTAAGTTGTCAGATGTATGGGCAGAGTTGTTTTTATTATTCTTTTTAATATCTTTGGCATCTGTAGTGATATTTGTTTTTCCCTTTTTGATATTTACAAAATTGGACTGTGGCTGAAAATTTATCAGTTAAAAAATGTTTCCTCTCAAAATCCCAGCTTCCAGTTTCATTAGTTTTTCTCTGTGATTTTGTTCTTTTTCTTTTCTGCTCTTATTTATTTATTCATTTCCATTTGCTTTGTGTTTGACTCTCTGTGTGTTTTACAGTTTCTTAATTTGGAAGTTTAGACTGATGTGTGATTTTCTTTTCTAATATAGGCATTTAATACTATAAATTCACCTCCTAGGGCTCCTTGGGGGAAATTTTGGTGTGTTGTGGTTTTTATTCAGTTCAAACGTTTTCTTTTTCCTTTCTGATTTATTTTTAATGAATGAATTATTTATTAGTGTATTCTTTATAATTTGGAAATATTTGAGGATTTCCTAAACATCTTTCTTTGTTTTTGTTTTTGTTTTTGTTTTTGTTTTTTTTTTAGAGGTTTTTGCTGT